AAAATAGGGCTGTGTTGTGTGAAGGGTCTGACATTGTTCGTCTCCGAAAATCATTACATTCGTACCATCAAGCAGAAACGTGAAGAAGGATATGAGACATGGGTAAATGCGTCACACACAGCCAGCAGTCAGTGGGTACCCAGTGGTGACTGTAAGGAGTCTGGTAGAAAGTTACCAATGGGAAAGGGTGAAAGACTCATAGTTCTCCATGCTGGTTCTGCTAGTCAGGGTTTTCTCCCAGACTGTGACCTCGTCTTTAGAGCCAAGGCCAAAGACAACAGGGACTACCACACAGAAATGAATGGCAATGTATTTCTGGAGTGGGTGAAAGATAAATTAGTCCCTGCTTTGCCTACCAAGTCTCTCATTGTCATGGACAATGCACCGTATCATATTGTGCAGGATCCAGAAAGCAAGACTCCAACCTCTTATAACCGTAAAGGAGACATGGTTACTTGGCTGCAACGGAAGAACATTACCTTTCCTTCTCGAGCGACGAAACCACAGCTCTATGAAATCATCAAAACTATGAAACCTGACCCCGTGTATAAAGTTGACAGTTACATCAAGGGTCAGGGTCACGCTGTCTTACGATTGCCACCTTATCACTGCGACCTGAATCCAATCGAGTTGGTATGGGGCACCGTCAAGGGTGACGTTGGACGATCGAACACAACGTTCAAATTATGAGACGTTGAACAACTCGTAAAGGAATCCCTTGATCGGGTAACAGTAGAAACATGGAGGCGTTGTGTGGCCACAGTCGTTGACGAGATAGAGCCATGTTATTGGTCACGAGATGGACTACGGCCAGCAACAGTCCAACCTATAATAGTGACAGTCGGTTCAGGCACCAGCAGTTCCGACGACGAGATCTATGGCATGAGCGAGTCAGATTGCGACTGAAATTATCATGAGACGCCCCTCTAACGCTCTGTCATTTCCCCTACAACAGAACTTGCAGTGCATGCGTGCTTGCGCTGTGCCTTCCACGGTTTGTCCCCTCTACGTGTCATGTACACATTTCTATACAAAATTACATGATAGTTTCTTTAAGAACTTCATCCGTCATGGGTCTTAAAATAAACAAAATACAGATTTTGTTGGGTACAGGGTATTCGTGGTCAAGTACCGTATTGATGTTTCATACACTTTTCTGGATTTCGAGTTATTTTGCAATTCATCGTTCTCATTTGGAATCAAACGGACTGTAATTTTAACTGCTTTTTGGGAGGTCTGCATTTTGGAGGTCTACGTTATGGGAGGGAACCCTTTCAGACAACTCACTTTAATGGTTACCGACTTACAGCACGTTTATCCAAGGGAGATAACTCCCAATATGTGACAGGTACAACATACCATAAGTGGCATTCACGCAACAGCGTAGGTAGCTTGGATCGATTGTTCTGACCATCGAGAATAAATCCTCCTAAAATACAACCCGTGTTATTTATGAACACCCCAATTCAAGTATAGGTTCTGCTTTTTTTTAATATGGGGTAATGGTAATTAAAAAACTACACTTTTAAGAAAGGGTGTAGATTGCCCAGATTTATTCTGCCCAGAACACACCGCTCGTACATTGCTATTACTCTTCCTCTTTTACGGCAGTGGGTTAAGACGACTCACATGAATTCAGTGTCATATGTGTAATGTGTGAGGAGCAAAGTCGTATGTTACCTGCCCCAGAGAGAAAGGTGTTGTCCTGTCGTGACAACAGAAATGACAACACACCTGTGCTATTTCTGGCTCTTGTTATCACTGAATGATAACTTTTGCCAAGACAGTAATGAATGTGCATTTTAAAAGCAATACAGTTTACCGTGAATGGATAAGAGCACTAGGGGAGAATGTAAATAAGTTAGTGCTACAGTGAGCAGTTTTTAACCATGAAATGCAAAACACACCATATAATCCTCATGAGGGAACAACGTATATAAAATAGTGTCCTGACCTTACTTTGCTCATTTTGTAGAAGGGATGTATACGTAAAGAAGGGAAAGATCACAGTGTCCACGTTTCGTCTATGTCGGATTCAAGGAGACTGTGACTGTAGGGCCCTGTTCAACAAAGCAATCGTGGCACTAAGATTATCGTAACTCCTATGCTTTAACTTACTTACTCAAATTAGGAATTTAACATGCGCTTTCCGACAGATGCATGTTTTGCGCACAGGCCCGCCAGGCCATTTAGTGTTTGGTCGAAAAGGGTATGTCCGAAAAGGTGAGGCAACCTAGGTGGTGCTTTTAGGGTTGTTTTCTTAATTTGGAGAACAAATTTGGAATTTTGAGATATGCCATGCAAAAGGTGGAGGGTGTGTGTGTGTGTGTGTGTGTGTGGACTAAAGGGAGTTTATGTGTTTTTATAGGTTTAGAAATTTAGGGTTTATTGGCAGCTTGTTTGTTGTACTTTTATTTTTAAATGCGGCCAAGTAGGCCTGTTTTGATTAGATATATGCCTAGTGCTTTAAAGGTTTGTAAGTCATTTAGGGGGTTAAGAACCGTTGCTAGTGTCATTTGATTGTTGCAATTAAGTGTGGATTGGAGTGTTGTTCTGTATTGCTGGTAATGTGTGCAATATAATGTTACGTGTTCAGGCATTTCTTTTAAGTTGCAGTGGGGGCATTTACCGGTTTGGTGTTTATTAATTTGGTGTAGGTGGGAGTTTAACTTAGTGTGGCCTGTTTGTAGTTTAGTTATTACTCTGTCATTTTTTTGGTTTTATAATGGATTTTTGTTTTTTTGAGTGGCTTTTGTAGCAGGTGTTTTAGTTTGCAATCAGATTTCTGATAGTTATTTTGCCACTTTTGGAAGATTTTCTCCTTTGTGATACTTTTAATTTCGTTTTTTGATATTGGTAGGTTGATGCTTACTTCTTCTAATTTTAGTACTGATTTGGCTGCTTTGTCTGCGTGTTCGTTGCCAAACACTCCAACGTGGGCAGGGATCCAAACTATTTCTATGTCTTTACCTCGTTTACGTAGATTGTTGGCGCTTTTAATTATCTGTTTTATTAGTTTTGGGCGCTTTTTTGTGTTTTGTTTTTTTATCGCTGTGCAGGGCTGTTACTATCCTCGTTAATTCGGCTGTGAAAATTGATTATTTGGGAGCCTATATGATTGTGTTTCTTTTGGGGGTTTGTTGATATGGATGCCGAATCCTGTGCGTTTTGAGCCAGGGTCAAAGGACCCGTCTGTGTAAATGTGACACCAATTTTCATTTTTCGTGAATGTCTGCTAATGTGATGGATTCAGCGATATTTGGATCAGTTTCTTTATTAAGTCTGGTGGAGAGAGATATGTCGATTTTGGGGGTTTGGAGTTTGGGTGTGAAGGTGTTATTTGGGGCTGTGTTTAACTGTAAATTATTTAGGTTGTGTATATTTAGGTAATTATACTCCTGTTTACGAAGTAAATCAGGGGTATATAGCGTTCCGTCCGTCCTTCCGAACGAGCTTTTGTACGGCCCATAACTTTTTATTTGTTTTTATATCAACAATTTTTGGTCCTTTTGATAATTCTTCTTATGTAACTCCTCAATCAAATTTTTATTTAAAGGTGTTCATGGTGATCTACTTCCTCGTAGTGAACACTGGTAACATGGGAGATTGGGGGTGGGGGGGTCAATTGTCACTGGAACTCAATCTTAGTTTTTAAAACATTGAAGTTAAAATCAGTTAGAAATATATAATATTTACTATTTGTTGTTGACCAGCGGGGATAACGGGGGTATGTGAGCTTTGCTCACTTCTTTCCTCTTTATTATGAGTTGAGAGATTGGTGTTAATTGAGGGTTTTTGTGAGCTAGAGCTTGGAGTCTGGGGCTTATGTTAGTTTTAAGGATCTGTTGGTTTTGTTGGGTTGAGGCCCAGTAATTTATTGTTAGCTGTTCTCGGCGTAGATCCAGGGGTATTTCGCCTGTTAGTGCCTGTAGCGATATGCGCGGTGTGCCATGCTGACAGCATGTGATTATCTTTAGTGCTTGATATTGAATTGAGTTTAGTTTATCGCTTAATGAGGAGTTTAAGGTGTTGTATATTTGGCATCCATAGTCTATTTTTGATCTAATTAGTGACTTGTAAAGTGATAGTAGGGTCTCCTTGGAGGCCCTCCAGATCGAACCTGTCAGGCAGCGTAGTGTGTTTAGGTCTTTAGTGCATCTATTTGTTAGGTTTTTAATTTGAGCACCCCAGGTGAGGTGTTGATCAAAGATTAGTCCAAGGAATTTGGTTTCTTTTTGGAATTGTGTGTTTTTTTTATTCAGTTGTAGTTTAGGGATGTTTGCGCGCATATTTCTGTGTTTGAATACTATCCCTGTGTTTTTTTCGGCATTTAGTGAGAAACCCCATTTATTTGCCCATATTTGAATTTTATTTAATGCATTCTGCAGTAACTTTTTAGCCATATTTATGCTTCTGGTGCGGACCCAGATGGCTCCATCATCCCCGTATTTGGAAGTTTGAATTTTATTGGGTATTCCCTCGAATAGGTCATTACATGCTTTAACATAGACTTTAATTAAAAGGCTATTTCTAATGTTCAAGGACATTGGGCTTCATTGAAGCGCTTGTGTTGCTGCGCTGAGACACCCTTGAGTCTCTTTGCAAGCTACGAGCGAAATGAAGAATATATGGATTGTTCGTTAAACTGATGATTGGAGGGGTTGACTGGAGGGGTTGACAACATTATCTCTTGCTGACTAAGCTGGTTGAGTTCATTCATGGTATGCAAAGCGGTGTGGATGGATATCTACATATCTTGTTTCTGATTCAGTGTCACGTTGGAGCTTCCATCTCAAAGCATTTATGTTCCCTTGTTGTGTGGATGACAATTAGGTTTATGGTGATGCTGCTCGGTAGTTATCACTAACCTTATGTTTGTATCTTGTCCGTTTATTATGACTACTTACAAAGCCCTGATGATGGAGATTGTCATCACCAAAACTGAATCATCCAAGTCATTTTACTGTGTTTGAAAATGTGATTGCTACGTTTTCTTTCAGTGAGAACACCACGATGGAGCAGCCAGTTACCTCCCCTGGTCAAGTGACTGTGACTACATCCCAGGTAAATGTGGCATATCACAGGCATTGTGTATCATACTTCACTGCATGAATTAATTTCTTACTTTTCATTATTCATTTCTTATGCTTTTGAGGAATGTTTGCTATTTAGAATACTTGAAAAAAATAAAATACTAACTTAGATACACAATTAATATTCACATATTCTTTTACATATAACTGTGAGTGAGAAATCTTTTTCCTAAAGACAATGGAAGTATTGAACCTCTCATTATGAAGATGGGAGATATCTGACCAGGAGAATGTATATTTATATGGATTTAATTGCTTTGGGCAATCTAGACCTACATATAACATGGTCTCAGTCCCAGCTCAACATGTGTCTAGATTCATTCACAAAGTGAACCATATCCCTCCTCTGACCTGTCGAACATATATTCTTACAGAAGGAAAAGGGGCGCTTACCATGGACACAAACATGAAATATGAATTTGAAAAGAACACTGTAATGTGTTCTTGTCGCTGTTTCTGCTGACTATTTAATCTAAATATTCTCTGGAAGTAACCCTTTTTACCATTGATTCCCAAAAGTTGTTGTCCCAAGGGCAGTGTTATTCATATATATATGTTTTTATTCGTTTGTGTCCCTATTGTCCAATAATGATCGTAATCTGTAACTTAAATTGGCTCAATGCATGTGACCTTTCGTGCAATAACTGTATTGACTGGTTAATGGATGCTGTCCGCCTGTTCATCTAGCCTGTTCAAGGTGGCTACCCTATCGGCCCCCCTCCCCCAATCAACCAGACCACGGTGATAGTCCAGCAGCCCGGGACCATGATGAGGGACATGGGACCTCGAGTGTGGAGCTCCGACCTATGCTCATGTTTCGATGACATCGGCTCATGTGAGTGATATCAGTTGTCACCCTGTGTATCTTGACATCGGTGACACTTAACCTGATGATTTCAAGCCCAGAAAGTTTATACAGTTCATAGAATTATTTGTTCTTGGTCACACACAAGGGCACAATTGTTTTGAGGACCCACAAAGATCCAATTATAGCCCGTGAAGATCCGGGGTAGAATAGGTCTTCAGAAACCAATGCTAGCCATAAAGGCGACAATGCTTGTCATAAGAGTCGACTAAAGGGATCGGGTGGTCAGGCTCACTGACTTGGTTGATGCATGTATTCGTATCCCAATTGTGTGGATTGATGCTCATAATGTCAATCACAGGATTGTCTGGTCCAGACCACCATTACATAGCTGAAATATTTTTGAGTGCAGCACTAAGGCAACAAACAAACAAAACAAACATTTCAATTACACTAAGTCATGATTTTTTACTTGTCATTGTAGGGAAGCTAATGTACATATAGGACAAACTTACCAACATGTAGCATGTAGCATAGTGTACTCAAGCCTTAACGGTAGTGGAACCTGCGGTTACTGTGCATCTGCTTACACTACAGGCTTGCTGGGGGCAGTGTGTCCTCTAGCCCTGGCCTGCCAGGTGTCTGGGCAGCTGGGGGAGTCCGCCTGCGTCCCATGCTGTGTACCTGGGGCACTCGTCGTCCTTAGGACCAAGCTACGAATCGAGCAGAACATACAGGTATGTCATTGGGACGACGTGTTTAAATGACTGGATTAAGTGTTAGATATACTGAACAACAAAAGTTTCTGTGACATTGAATAAGATTTAATGCAAAGTTATGTTTTTTACCATATCTGAAACAATTTCGGTTTGCAACAGATAAAAGACTCCTGTAAGTGTTCGAATGGTTTCATTTGCCATACTGACTTCAGAAAATGCGCGATTTCATGTAAAACATGAACATGCCAAAATGTCAATTTACAAATCAATAGTGTGTGTGTCCACCTCTGGTTGTGATGCAAGCAACACATCTTTGTCTCATGGAATGGACCAGGTGTCGCACAAAGTCCTGTGGGATATCTGTCCATATCTGCTGGAGCATGTTCCTGGAGTGTCTGTGGAACATATGGTTGCATCGAAGGCGTCAATCCATATCATCCAACACGTGCTCAATTGGTGAGAGATCAAGGGAGCGATCCGGCCAGGGGATGACATTCAGGTTTTGTTGAAGAGAATCCTGAACAAGTTGAGCAATATGAGGCCGGACGTTGTCATGTTGAAAGGTAATGCCTGGTCCATGACAACGCAAAAACGGTAGAACAACAGGGCCGATGATCTCGTCACGGTAGCACTGTCCAGTGAGATTTCTCTCTACCACTATCAAAGGGGTCCTCTGTTTTGCTGTAATCCCGTCCAATACTATAACGCTGCCGCCCCAAACTGATCTTCTTCCATGACACAATGATTGACGTAGCGTTCACCTCGACGTCGGTACACTCGAATCCGTCCATCGCTGTGGCTAAGGTGAAAACGAGACTCGTCAGTGAATAGAACTTGTCCCCACTGCAGACGCTGTCTGCACCACTGTAGACGTGTTTGACTGTTGTTTCCTGTAAAAATGGGACGTCTGGCGGGTCTTCTGGCGACAATCCCTGCACACCTGAGGCAACGATGTACGGTTTGTGAAGATATTCGTCGCAGGCCAGGGATACTTCTTGCAGTCACTGTTGCTGGCTGGAATCGATTTTGTAGGTGTGTTGTTCAAATCCAGTTGTCTTGTCGATCATTGGTTACTCGTAGAGTAGTATAGGTAATGATGGTTCTGCCGCAACTCCACTGGAGCTGGATTTATATACCTATACTGCTACTAAAGGGGGAATTTTTTATGCAAAAATGATGATGCGATTCAATGATAGTCATAATTCGTATTAAAAGAAACATCAATATTAATTAATAATGAATAAAATTTACTATGGCCCACGAGGATATTGGAAAGGTGTAGGTGCAATAAAAAAATTAGCCAGTGCGGCTAAGGTATCTAAAGATGTGGCCAAGAATGGCTAAAGAAACAAGCGATGTGGCAAATATATTTACCGGCATCGCATTATATACCGAGGAAGAAGTTTGATATTTTTACAACGAATGAAGTTCATCAGGCTGACCTCTTGTTTCTTCCCCAGGATAAGGTAAGACGCAAAACGTATAAATACGCTTTAACGGTAGTGGATGTGGCTAGTCGATACAAAGAGGCTGAGCCAATAACCTCGAAAGATTCAGCAGAAGTAGCTAATGCACTGAGCCGCATATATAAACGCGGACCACTAAAATGGCCCAAGTTATTTCAAGTAGATCCCGGTCGCGAGTTTATGGGATCAGTAACTAAACTGTTAACAAAGCACGATGTCGAAATCAGGCATAATGAAAAAGAGGCCCACCGTAGTCAAGCTATCATTGAATGATTTAACCAGACATTAGCGGAATGTTTGTTTGGCTATCAGTATGGGATCGAAATGAAATCGGAACGATTGAGATCAACCGAATGGGTGACACGATTATCAGCTGTTGTATCAGCGCTGAATAATGAAGTAACGAGATTAATCCGGAAGAAACCATCCGATGCGATTAAAATGAAATCTGTGACTTCCGAATCTTCAGCACCGAGGAGAGGCAAAGGACAAAAACTTCCGGATAGAGTAAACGTAAGATATTTATACCAGCCCAGTGAACTCAAAGGAGGCCTACGCCGCGCAACCGATCCGATTTGGTCTCTTAAGACATATAACATTAGTCGATTGGTTATGAAAGAAGGAGAGCCTATTCTTTATTATCTTAAAGATGGACCAGGCAAGGCATTTGTACGAGAAGAGTTGCTCATAGTTCCCAACGATACAGTATTACCGCCCTAAGTAACCATAAGCATTGGTAGTTACACCATCCTTATCAATTCATCTCTTTGTATCTAAGGGGGATAATGATGTCTTGTTCATTCTTAATCCATATATCCTATGATTGTAACTTCTTAAAGAGTTCATCTCGTGTTTGAATGTTCTACCGTTGAATAATGCTTCTTTATACTGTTCGTGTTTGATATGCTTTTTTACCACATACTTCTTAACACCCTTAGTTTTTTTTATCTCTCCATTATCGGACTTCTTTATAGAATATATCTTAGGTCTTAATCCGACATACTCCGCTATAGGAGTCCCAGCACATTCATCCTTCATCTTACCTAACACCTTTTTATTTACTACGCTGTGCAGTGGATTATCTTTGGGTAATCGCTCGTGTCGTACATATCTATTTTTTCTGCCATATCTTTATACACATCCTCGGTTTGTATTTCCATCAACAAAGAATCTGTGTTGGTATATAACACCTCGCATCTTTCGCCGTATTGCTTCTTAAGTTCGTTGTAATAAAAGTCATACATTAAGTGTATTGACGAGTCGAGAATACTCATACCAACGTACACCAGTCTGTTAAATTTTATATAACTCTTCTGCATATGCAACGCGGCTAAGTCGTTATCGAATATCTTGCTTCTGTTAAAAGCCGGACTGGCTGTAAGTTTCCTAAGTCTTTCTTCCTCATTAGATCTGACCAATTTAACATCAACACGCTTCCTTAGATTCTCCATAGTTTTACCAAATACTGAGTTATTCATGAGCTTATATAGGTTTTTTTCAAAATCGCTGGAAGCTATCTTTCTTAAATCTGTGTTCAACCTTATATAGGGCTCAATCCAAGGGCTTTGATCAAACTTTAGAACTCTGTGTATTTTCTTTAGTTTCATACGTAATGATAGATATAACTGGAGATTTCTGTTGTGAACTATATATTTTGTATTATCCATCAAATTTGGTACGAGTTTTTCTACGTTAGCTAACCTTGTATTACCCATCAAGGAGCGTTGATATTCCGACATTCAATCTTTATTCACCATTAATCTTTCGGGAGCTAGCGGATAACAGTTATGGTCTTTATGTAACGAATTTGGGTATTCCAAGTCAACTTCTAATATGTACCCTTTATTTGCATCATTCGCATTGATATTATGGATATCATCCACTTCGATATCATCGACCCACTCAAAACCACCCGTGGGTAAAGGTTGACTCATAGCCCATCCGTACAAATTGTTGGCGTCGAGATATAATATATGCGTGTTGGGTTTACTCGGATCATATCCTTCCACTAATTTATTATTAGCCTTAGAATACCTTTTCGCTACCATCGATATACCACCTCTTAATCCTTTCTCAATAAACAAGTGCATATCGTAATCGGTGAGTAGTTTTAGTTCTACGCTGGTCTTCTTCAACAATACATCCCACAATAGTCCGGGACTGGAATAGTACCATGCCGGGTCCAAGCCGTATTGTTTTAAACATGTCTTTCTAAATATCTCGAATATATCGGCGAGTAACAGTACATCGGTTTTTAAGTACAGATAGTGATAATCACCTAAATTCTTACAACCTAATTTATCCCAAACCGTCAGAGTGTGTTCATAATCGGCATCGGTTATTTTAGATTCTGTTAAGTTACTATAGAATGATTCAAGGGGTGGTAATTTAGTTTCGTCGCATCTAGTCCAATCATCCATATATTCGTAAGGATATACACCTTTTCTCAACAACAAATGACAGCACCTATCGGTATATTGATTTGTTATTGCAAAGTCATCGGGATTGTTCGCATTAGCTAAATTGTCAAGGGAAGATAACAGAAACTGTACGGAGTCTATGAATCTAAATCCATTACTTTGCTTTATTCTGGCTTTCCTATCCTTGTCCCTATAATGTATAGTCTACGAGAATGATATGTATTTTTCCATATTATTAGGAATACACGTTAAGCCGCCGTCAGTCTTTGAGATAGCTTGCATAATGAGATGAGAATCATATCCTCTAAGGTTATGAAACACAAGGGGATTGGTATTGTTTGAGAATTCATTTTTAGTTTCAAGTTACACTTGTTATGCGCGGCTCCCCGATAATTAGCCGTGACGTGGCAATGATCTCTTACAGAATCCCCATTCAGGGGTTTATTACAAACATGACAACTCGTTGACCTCTTATAGGCCCTCCAATCATCCCTTGTCATCCACATTGGTTTCTTACGCGATAAATTTTCCCTGATTATTCTCTCTTCATTTTGTAGATATTCTAGGAACTTTCCCGCTGCATCGGGACCTCTGTAAATCACGGGTGGGTTTGTTTTCCCATCATACCTTACAACTATATATCAAAACCCACAAGGAATATGTTCTTGAGTTTTGTACGTAAAACTACTATCTTGATTATCTTCTATAGGTTTGATAAGCGCTTCGAAGTCGGCGTAAATTACGTACGGTACTGGCATTTGATTACAATAATGTTCAAATTTTAATATATTTTTCCCCTCTTTAGGCATATCGATCCTGATAGCATTCTGTCCAACACCTCTGCAGTCTTCTTTATGGGCTTCTAATAGATATTGTCTACTGTACCCTTGTAGGCATCTTTCACAGAAATATTTCTTTCTCGCATGTTTTGTTTGATCATGTAATAGTCTGCTTAAACTTTTTATCCACGTATAATGATATTTACCATCTTTTTCGATTAGAAATGAATTGATTCTGGGAATATGTTCTGGAGTGGAGCTTATCCTGTGTACAACAATTCCTTTAGAAGAATGTCCGAAAACATTTATAGCTAAATTATTTTGCTTTTCCACCTTATCAATTTGTGATATTG